AGACTTCAAAATAAAGTTAAGAAATATTGCTTAATCAATGAGCAATTATTTAGAAGATTCGTAGATAATAAACTGCCGCGAAGAGTGATATTGAATAACAATGTATAATGAGAGCAAATCATGAGGAATTTTCAGGAGAAGGTAGGCACTGTGGAATAAAAGGAACAGTTAAGAAAATCCTAATGAACTATATATGGGGGAATGGCAGCATATACAATGATGTGAAAAACTATGTATCATCATGTGAAATCTGTCAAAAATGGTGTAGAAAGCAACTACCAGAACCTATCCACGTGATTGCCACAAGTTGGATTTTTCATAGACTTTATATCGATTGCATCGGGCCTTTGCCCAGAACTTCAGCAGGTCACGAGCACATTGTAGTTGCCGTAGAGGATCTGACCGGGTATATCGAAGCATGTGCATTAAGAAATAAAAATGCAAAATCAATTGCCGCATTTTTATGGGATGAAGTAATTACCAGACATGGTTGTTTTGCTAAATTAACTTCGGATAGAGGAACTGAATTCACAAATAAGTTAATGGAAGAATTAACGGCTCACTTACAAGTAAAGCGAGATGAACTTAGCATACATTTCACATGTCGCAACAGTTTACCGCTAGTTATCATTCTGAAGCCAATGGCAGGGCTGAGTGTACTGTACAAAAATTAACATGTATTCTTAGGAAGGTTAGTGCGGAAGCACAGAACCGATGGCATGAGCACTTATGTGCTGCAGTGTGGGCTTTAAATGTAACTATGAGCGAATTGGGCCACTTACCTTTTAGATTGGTGTATGGTCATGATGCAATAATGCCAATTGAATTGACATTTCAGAGTTACCAGGTCTTAATGACCAAGCAAAGTTGGACCACCGAAGAGTTGTTAACTTTTAGAACATTGCAAATGAAAGAATTAGTCTATGAATTAAAGGAAGCAAAGGTAAACTGTGATGAACTTCACGAACGATGAAAGAAATTTCATGACCATCATGCAAATAAAAATAAGGAAAAGGTTGAGATTGGCGATTTAGTGCTGGTATATGATGCAACACTTGATAATACGCCCCGAAAATTAGATTATAGGTGGGTTGGTCCTTATATAGTAAGGAGGGTAGGCCGAAATGGCTATCTGTATTTGAATGAGGTTGATGGAGGTGAGTTAAGGGATCCTTTTACAAGGAATCGTGAACGAAGAAGGCAACGAAAAGGAAGATGACTTCGAGGACGAAGATCATGGGGATCTAGCTCCTGTCGTGCCATGGGTCAGTATGCAGCGTACTATGTGCGGGGTATGTTGGATATTCAACATATAGACTTCGATCGTAAACTTGATCACGTGAGGTACCATGGTTAATCGGGTACATCAATTATCTCATTTGCGCATAGCCTATTTTAATCAAAGCAAATCTATTGTAATTTGTGCATCAATTTGCATTAAATATGTAGTCATCGATTTGTAGTTTGATGATAACAATTTGTAGTATAATAGATTCAACTCATGTATAAATAAGGTAGGGCTGAGTAAGCCAAATAGGAAGGATCTTCTCAAGAACGAAATAAGTAAAATAAAGAAAACGCATACTTGTTTGCTATTAAAAAACAAAAACCCTGTCCCGTGGTATTGTGTGTGTGTAGTTGTGAGTTGACGTGACATTGAACGAAAGGCGGTCTGTGTCTACGAATTTGAGCTAGATTAGCAGTAGGATAAGGGGCCTATTGCGAACCTGCACGACAAGGTAGGACCTGGGTACAAAATCAAGACCTCTCGCGCATAATAATTAACGTCTCAACACAGTCCGAAGTCGTTCTTGCAATATAATAAAAAAAAAAAAAATTTTTTTTAACGATATTATATAATCAAACGAACTGACAACGCAACATAACAAAGTAAGACTCATCCGAACGGTATAGCAATGGGAGGCTCTGATTCAACAAAACCCATATACCACGGCCATAATGACAAAGATGTTGAAGAGTTTCTTGAGGACTACGAAGCATATGATGCATCAAAAGATTGGAGTGAAGATAAAATGCGACAGGTTATAAGGCTCCATGTAAGTGATGATTTAAAACCCTGGATACGTAAACAAATTAAAGCCAAGAATACATGGACTGAATTAAAAGCTGCTATCACTTCCGGTACTCAAACGTCTGGTGATGTGGAAGAAAAACTGAAACGATTAAAGAATGCTAAACAAAAATCGAACGACACTATTAAGGCGTGCACTAATTGGTTCGATGCTGGTATGAAATTAGTTAAGAATAATATAAGGAGTATAGAGAAAAGGCAATAGTATGTGCAAGGGCTACGGGAACCTTTCAAGGAAAAGGTGAAAATGCAATGCCCTGAAACGTATGAAGATGCTAAAAAGTAGGCCCTAAAAGTGGAGAAATATAATAAGGATAATGAATATGTGGTAAGAAGCCCTTCTAAAAGCATATCCGGGGAATCCAATATGACAAAATCTGACATGAACGATCTTACGTCAGCTTTCGGCGCCTTGAAGATTTGTCGTGTTGATCAAAATTCGGAGCATTAAAGAGTTAACGATGGCTGTGATGAATCTTAAAGAAAATAGGCCACCTAATGTATGTCGATATCAAACAAATTATTCAACGCAAGGGCAAAATGGCAATAATCTAAATCAAACGGCTAGATCTAGAAGATGTTATGAGTGTAATCAGGATGGGCATATTTCTTAAAATTGCCCAACAAGAATTTTACAGCCACAATCTGAGAATCAAAAAAAATAAATAGTTAGAGTTAAAAATATTTACAAAGATAATTAATTTTATTTAGAATTTCCTTTTTGCTTAAAAATCTTAAATTTGCACTTAAGAACCTTTTCATTAAACTAGATAGCTGAATGCAGCTTCTCGTTAGCTCTATTTTAATATATAATTTGATATAGTTTAAACTTAAAGTACTCAAGTTTTATATACAACAATAGCAAACTCTCTTTAGCTTAAAAACTTTTTTTACTATCTTGTTCTTTGCAAATTCCACAAATACCCAGGCTCTAACACATTCAAATTACACAAAACTCTTGGCTTAGTAAACCAAAAAACACAAATTCTTTTTTAGTTTTATTTAAAATTAAGTTTAAGTATACAAATTAATCAATTACAAATTAAATTTTATTCTAAAATAGTTGTTCAATGTTCATCAAACTTAGCCCTTGTAAATCACTAATACAACTAAATTTGTACTCAAACTAATTTAAACTCAAGTTTAAACCCAGCTTTCCAAACTTCTTACTAAAACCCTAGTTCAAACTTAAGTTCAAACTTAAGTTTATTCAGTACCCATCTCTCTAACTATACCTCTCCTAAACTCAAGCTTAAACCTCAGTTTAAACTGCAGTTCTATCTTAGCAAGCTCAAACTCCAGTTTCAAACCTTAGAAATATTTTTCAATTTTTATATTATTTTATATATTTATTCAAATCTCTCTTAAAAAAATACTAAACTATTTACCTTAAATTTTCTTTTTTCTGCAAAAATATCTTTTCAAAATGCCTTCTCTTATTAACCAAGAACCAGACTTTTATAACTTAAATTACTACTACAAAAACTATGCCAGCTTGAACTGTTTTGATATTATTATGTCTGAAGCCAAACCAAACTCTCTATATATTCTTTCTTCTAATTTTATTTCAAACAACTGTGACTTTGTTAAGAAACATTATTTCTTTAAAATGCCTACTTAACTTGCTTTAGTTACTTGTCTTTGTGGCAAATATCACACAATCTTACTTCAAGTCAATATAAAGCCAATTATGTATTAACCATCTTCAGCCAAAGTACTACATATAAACAACCAAAAATTACAATATCTATTTTCTATAATTATTCAATAGCATTCAAGAAGAATTGTCAAATCTCTAATCTCTAAACAACAACCTCCTCAACTTGACCTATTGGTCTAAAAATTCTTTTTCCAAATGTTCATATAAGTATCACATCTGCAGAAATTATCACTCACTCTTACCATTATTATACTTGTCTTCTTTGAAGAATTAAAAATATTTCTTGTAATTATCTTCAAAGTAAAAACCATGCTCCTGACTATACACAAACTATTTTATTTAAAGAATACTTTATCCATCATACTTGTATTTCCAAACTTCAAGAAAACAAATTAATACCAAAACCACTAACCCAACCACTATTCAAAAAAACAAAAAATAGTTACAATCATCTTTAAACTTATTTCAATGCCAAAAGAAAAAAAAATTAACCTTCTGAAATCTATTCTTTTTAAAAAAGAACCCAAAGAAATTCCTATTCCTTCTGTTTCTAAAGAAAAAACAAAAAAACTACATCTAATAATATTAACTAGTTCAAAAACTATTTTATTATTTCAAAAATAAAGCCTTATCAAGACTTCAATACACTACTTACCAAACAAATCTTTGACTTCATTAAAGTGCCTCTTCTAAACTATAGACCAGATGAAATTATTAAAAAAGAAACCTTAAACAAACTAGCTCTTAGGACAAATTTATACTATTTAATTAAAAATATAGTAGCTCAACAACCAAAATTTCCTACTAATCTTATTTATCAATTAGTTTCAACATTAAACCCCAATATTCCAACATTATTTAATTTACTTCTTTCTACTTTAAAACAAATATTACAAAAATTTACAACTATTTTCTTTACTAAACATAACTACAAAAAAATATTTAGTCTTTACAATTCTATTTCTCCATATACTTCTTGCAATAAAAGCCAAATTGCACTAAACTTAGCAAGACTTTATCTTCATCTTCATGATAAATATAAACCTATTAATATTGAGAAATTCTTAGAACATCTTAATATTAAACCCTATCATCTCTCACTGTACTTTCATATTTCCTTTGATAACCTTAACCAACCTTTACTTAGAATTCAAAATGATAAACAATTCAGAATTAATGTTGATTAAATATTTCTAAAACTAAGTTTTTACAAATCTTCAAAATTTCTTCTCTTAAAGACTATTAAACCTATCTAGACAAGTGGTTTAAAAATTTTTTTTCAAACTATCTAAACAATTTAAACAAATAGACAAACTAAAGTCAAAAACTATATTAAATTTAAAATAGCTAAAGATTTATCTTAATATATAAAGATCTTTTACTATCTAACTTTGATATTATCAATATTATCTCTCTCAACTTAAGAATTCAACAATGCATCAAAGGTGCTCTTTTTTATTTGCATAAATACAAATTTAATAAAACTCAAAAATGCAGTATTATTCCTAATGACACTAAACAATCTAAAAAATATTATCACATACTACTTCACTGAATCCTTCAAACACTTTCTTGTATCTTAATTAGATAACCAACCAAAAAAAACTTATATCTACCCAACTCTAAACTTCTCTATCTTCAATAAAGATCATAAACATGAAGCTACCTTTTCTAAAACCACACCAACTTCTTTATTTCAAGAATTATCTCAAGAAGCAGAAAATTTCTTTACAAAACAAAATGAAACTAAAACAAATCCTAAAAGACAAGCCTACTATTTCTATAGCTACTTTAGAGCATACTTTAAAGCAGCTGCAAAAAATAACAAGATTATTGACCTTCATCCCCAATAAGTAATTGATAAAATTACAAACAAGCCTTTTAGTATCCATACACTAGCATAAATTTTAATCTATTTTCATATTCTAAGAAATCCAAATATTATTTTTTTTGAAAATAACAAATTATATAATACAAAATTCTTACAAAAGGCAAAAAAAAATTTTAACAATAAATTTAATATTTTAACTTCTTTAGAA